AAAGCAGATTAATTCATTGCATTAAGCTGGCAACATATATATTTTTGAACGGTAATGACACTTCTACATACGTCAGCAAACTCATTTCTAAAATGGCGTGAACGTTTTAGCAAAAAATATAACATCATATAATAGCATTGTCGTGAATGAATTCTAGTGTGGGGGTGTGTTCCAGCAACTCGCTCAATGCACGATGAGGTACCAGGAATCTGATTTACATCTTGGCCTTTATTCTTCTTTGACTTCCGCTAACAATCTTAATCTTCCTACTCTTCTAACTCTTTTCTACTTTTCTACTCTTCTCTGCTTACTAGTTCAATTACAGTAGCGGTTTTTATAGCCAAAGCTGGACATGTTTGGGTTAGCTGACCGGGAGAGTTTCTATTGTATACCTTATCGCTAACATTGCAACAGGTTTGCTATTGTTAGGGAATAGATTAGCCTACGCACAGCCGCAAGACAAGTAACAAAGAACCCAGGACAGCTCTAACACCAGAAACACGACCACCTGTAAAAAACTAACATATGACAATGGCAAGCGAATAACATTCCTAATATGGCAATAAGTAAATTCGCGAGCTAAGCATAAGTTCAAGTTCAAGTAAAAACAAAAGATCAAAACAGGAAAACAGTGCCTGGACAAAAACAAGACTTAATGAAACAAAACCTAAACTTAAAAGATAAGATAGATCCGTCTTAAAAATAACTTTCAAAATACTTCACAACACTAGCGAAGGCCACAAAACTCTGAGGCAGCATATGCCAGTGCCAAAGGAAGTTAAAATTTTTAATTTGCATTTTAATTTGATATTCAAGAAAGCCATAATCATTGTAACAGAGAAATAGCCATTTCTTTTCTCAACAGTTAAGTGTAAACAGAGCAAATCATATCCGAACACTTTTAATTTAAAGAACATCTTTACAATGCTCAAAGTTTTCATTCTTGTTTCGGGGAAAACCTTTTTTCTTGCCGAGCTTTGCCTCTTTGAACAATGCTAATTTTTCCTCTGAGAGGGTCTTGTCTTGTTCTGCGTCCGAGAATAAGCAGAAGTCATGTCTCCATGATTCTTTTTCTGCTTTTTCTTGGTTTATGAAAACAGCTTTCCATCGGTAATTCGTTTCCCTTTCTTTAAAGGAGCTTGTAATCTGTTGCCTCCTCCCGAGATGGAAGGAAATTCCCGCCTTTTAGAGTGAACAATCAATTCATATTTACAAGTAATAAAATCAAGCACTCAAAAATTAACACTCGATCTTTCCACAAAACCGTTAATTTATAATGAATATATCTCGAAAAAACTTGCTTCAAGTCGTTCTCGAGAGCCTGTAGCAAAAGATTGTGACGATGTAAAAAGGGATGCAGAGGCGGATCCAGAAAATTAGGAAAGGGATGGCCGCGATACTTGCCAGCTAAATAGATACTTTTAATTTTTCTGAGAATTTTATAAAAATAATACAAGATTTCAAAGAAAAAGGGGTAGCCGTGGTCCCCTCGGCCAGCCCCTAAATCCGCCTATGGGTGTTGATGGCTGTTGTTCTTCACTTTTATTCCCAATTTTGGCAAGAGCGTCCTTTAAGGTGGCTCCCTAGAGTACAGTTGACTCCCGATAATTCGAACCTTCAAGGGAAATAGAAAAATGTTCGAGTTATCGGGAGTTCGAGTTATTGAGGGTAAAATTATATAGAAAACGATCTGAAGGGAAATACAAATTGCTTCGAGTTAGCGGGAGGTTCGAGTTATAGAGGATTCGAGTTACCGGGATTCGACTGTATTTACTAATAGCCCTAGCTATCTAGCATACGTTACATAACGAAATCTAGTTACTTTGTCTTTGCGATTTCGTTCACGAGATTCACCGCTACGGTTACCCATATAAGAAGGCTCCCTTATCAAGTTTCGTTTCCTGGATTAAGGCTGTTGCCATGGCAACATTGCATTCTTAGACAGGCAGTAATTTTGTCATGTTTGATCATTTTTTCTTAATATTTCTTATTTCCCCCGGTGAAATGTCTTTAAACTTTGCCACTTTACATTAACGATATTGCTTAACATTTTGAAGTGGAGAAAACATGGGGTCGTTAAGAAGACTTTAAGACGGTTTGGCCAATATTTTGAAATTTGTAATTTTTCTTGGAGGAGGAATTTAGCTCTTACAGATTTTAACGAAAAAAGGACAGTACAAAGGTACTGCAACTGTTAAGAAGTGAGGCGATTTTTAAAAAAATTTACCGAAGGAAACGCGAGAAATTCATGGTTAATTAACTACGATGACGTCACAAAAATCCGAAAAACACGCGTGGTTCAGGGTCGTATGAGCAATATACGCGCGCGAGCCATCACGCCCGCATGCGCATAATGCACAAAGCTACTGAAAACATGTGGTTTTTATGAAAAGTACGAAAGCCATTGTTTTGGAGCTGTTTATTAGTATTATTACGGTAATATCTCGCCAGTTAAAAAAGGAGAGATAGCGGATTCAATTTTATACCTAACCCAGAATGTTTTCTTCGAAGTACTTGACTATTGTAGCTGAAATTCGAGCCGTGGTGGTCACTACTCGTGCAGATGGGGATCATTGGTTTTGCAAGGATCGCGATAAGCCCTTCATTTCCTAATCTGCTGTACCGACTGTTTGCAGATCTTCAAATGCCAGCCCACTTCCGGGTACTTTTTCAACCTTGTTACTCTTTAGGGATAATTTCGACGGCGAAGTTTTTCTTTAACAGCCTGCTGTAAAAGATGGCGCCGATCTAAAAAAAAGTACATCACGTCCTCAGCTGCACGTCCAAGACCGTAGTTCTCGATGGATATGTGACTCAAAAATTATTTTTCGTTGTGCAACAAGATTTTCTAGTGCACCTTGCCCCTCAAAGAACTTTTGGAAAGGAAAAAGTACAAGGATGTTGATTCGTCGATGGAAAAGTTCCTTCGATCAGGATTCAAGTTAACCACTTCTGATAAGTCTTTTAAACAATGTGATCGAGTTAGCAAAACAAAACAAAAATTTACAGTTGCTGTAATCTTGCCTTAAAGCCACTTCTAGAATTTTTAATCAAATCAAATGTAAGAGAAATGAAGCCCCGAGGAACGCCGCCGGTGAAGACATTCTTCAGTGGTTGTTCGGGACTTGGCTCGATCTTTCAGATCTTTCCACTGACCGTGAACCAAAAGCCAGAACAGTAACATTGCTTCCTTTAGGCCCCCGGGCTTTTAGGGTTAGTGAACTTATTTCTTTGTTTTCTTTGTAAAGTTTTCATTCACCATTTACTTCGACTATTTTACGTTTGTCTACTTTTGAAGTGAAAGAACTGATGTCTTTGGAAAATTTCTGCTTCGTTTTTACAAACAATTTACTCTTGTAAAGATCGATAGTGACTTGTAACCGGTGTAATCTAACATTGTCTCCTCTCATAAATGTTTGACCTAACTTTTTGCACAATGAGCTTCAACAGAAAGTTAATAAAGTGTTTTTGGGGGAATATTTCGAAACAAAGAGGTCATATTTGTTTTATTTTTGCGTGGAAGTCGCGCGGGTTTTAAAGCTCGCGCCATACTAGTGCTCAGGCTGCGCACGGCCAATTTACTCTAGGGAGCCACCTTAAAATGGACACCTCCTCTGTCACCTTTTTCTTCATACTGTTTTGGCCTGTGTGAGCCTCGTGCAACGAAGGTGGGAAAAGTTGGCTTACTGCTGTCTTTTATGTAGTTCAGTCGACGAAAAGAAGAAACGAAGAAGTAAGAACATGAAAATGATGCAACCACGAATCAATCCCATTGCGACGCCTCGAGGAAAAGGATACAACGAAAGAAAACATTTAACGACAAGAAGAAAGGCTAGCGGTGCCCCGACGAAAACAGTACGATGAAGCGAACGAGGGACACGACGACTCGAAGACATGGAACCTACGCAACGAAGACAACAGACAATAACTTGAAGAACAATTTTCGAAGCGAAGAAGTGTTTGCGGAGCCATGAAAAGCAATTATCGATTTTGTGCACGATCTGAGGTCATACCACGTGTTAACTTGATTACCAGCCGCTGCTCGGGAAATGAACCCGCGCTCAGACAGGAGAGAGAGGCGGAAATCGAACCTAGGTACGTGTGGACGGGACCTCAGTAGCAAAGGAAGAGAAAAGGAGAAATGATATCAAGAGCAAAAGGAAAGAACGCCGACGGAGGAGAAGCTAGAAAAGCTAACTTTGGCGTTTTTGAACGAAAAAAACTGGCACGCAACAAAACTATGCTGACTAATTCTTGGCATCAGGAATTCTTTGGACTAAAGCACAAATGTTTAGCATAGTTGCAATCCTTGTAGTTTCCCCGTTAATCCCTTACTGTTTCTAGTAACCCCCCTTTAAAATTGGACCTGCTCTCTTCTCTAGATGATATGGGCTTTTATCCATCCGGAAAAATTCCTGTGAAAATTGATAGGTTAGTTGTATGGGTCGGCTAGACAAGGAACGAAACTGAGCCGCAGCTGCGCTGTAATATTCCCTCAAGACCACTAGCCCCGTTAGAAGGCACTGCTCGAATCAGTGTTTTCCTTAGGTTTCTTGAAAGCTCGAAATAGAAGAGAGATGTCAAAAGAATATTTTTCTCCAGCCGCGATTTCACTCGGGAGAAGCGATTGTTATAATCAGTGCCACCAAAAGCCTGATATATTGAAATAATGTTATCATGTTGTACATGCCTGATGAACTGTGAATTCTTTACTCAGTATCGGATTCACCCCTCTTTACGAATCCTTTACACTAAAATTCAGTATCAGTGGTAAATTAGAGGAAACAACACCTTTTTTTTTATTTCACTGCATTAGAAAAACTAAAACAAAATAGAACTAAGCTAAAGATCAACTCTCATGATATGAAACTTCTTTTCTTCAAACTTCAAATGGGATTCAAAATTAACAACATCCGTTAAAACCTTTCATTTAAAAAAAATCCATGTCTAGTTAGAGCTGTTGTTTCTTTCACTATATTTTCACTTCCTTGACTTCAAGCTTATCGAGCAAAAGCTACAATAGCGCATGACAACAGCATGATGGCGCTGACCATTGGTACTTTGGCTCCATTGCACAGGTCTCCTTTACAGCAGTTGATTTCGCATTTGGTGATTTTCACTGAGGGGTAGATCCCTTTGCAGGTGTCCGCGCTGCATTCAGATGACTCTAAACATCCTTTGGCAAAGCCCTCGGCTGATGAGACTGAGCTCTCAGCTTTGATAACAGCTTTGCCACAACGGTCCTGACTGTCCGAACAGTTTACCTGTAGTGCACTATTTTTGCAGTCATCCCAGCTCTTAAGAGAGGCACATTGGTAGCATTTCAGGGCATAACCTGGACAAAAGAAACAAATACAAAAATAGAATTAATAGCCTGAATCTGGATGGCCTACACACCCAACTACCCACAGTAACAATTCCATATTTTTGTTTTTCGACGCGTAAACCATTTGGTATAAAATGCAAATTGAACCTTTGCCAATCACCTCATTTCTTCCGACAAGCTTTCTCGGAGAAAAACGTGCGAAATGTTGGACAAACTTATAGAGGACTGACACCATTCAGTTTCGTCTGCGTTGCTAAAGGAAAGTGCCAACATTTAGGCAACAACAACAACAATAACCTTTATTGCCTAATTTCACGCCGCGCGGGAGCCTGGTACTACCGGATTTTCCCGGACTTTTTAAATTTCGGATTGAAGATGGCTTCCAAAATAGAAGGTAATGCAAAGGTCATTTTGTGCAGTTGAAACGATATTAAGGGCCAGATTACTCCAAAAAGTGAATATTCTAAAGCTAAGAACAGTTGTTTTACTGCTATAAAGAGCCTCGATTAAAAATTTCGAGAAAAGAAAGATGTAATCGGAGACTTTCGCTACTTGGAAGTATTGGAAGGATTCCCGAATTGTTTGACAAAAAATTTGAACAAAGAACCGTCGAGTTTAGCTCTTTTTACGGTGCTAGATCCGACCGAATATTGGGGAATGATAAGGGAGTGGGTGTACCTGTTTTTACAAACCGTAAAATAAAAACTACCAAAAAGCGAAACACGCCAGAGTGACCCTGAATGAAAGGGCAACACTGTATATTAGGTAGGCAAGGCTTACATTAGATTTTCTCCCCGTCGCTGCGTATGGTCTCAGTAGAAATCCTAAAGATCAGACCGGAAACAATTCTCACTGAACATGGACAAAAGCAAGTATACTTCAATCTTTTAATACTTGAGAGGCATTTCTCGTCCGGTAACATTGCAGTTCCTGTAATTTGGGCAATCAGCTTGTAATCACAATCAAGAATGTCACGTACATCTACCTTTTGGCTAGCATGCACCGAGTATAGACTAGTCCCTTATCTCCCTTCATGTGAACAACACTAGGTTTAACATACATAATGCCACAAGGTTCACTACACTCAGTACCTTTCACGGACATTACTCTTTTCCGCGGCGGGAATAATCCAGGTAAGCCCTTCTGTACTGCCCTTTTAAGTTTTGCTCCAGCATACTTAGGCTACGATCGATCCGTGCACAATCACATCTGTGTTCTTTCCTGCAATGATCCTCTACTTTTCATATGCAGGTAGAATTAAACAGAGGATCCTTTGCTGTAGAAAATTTATAATCATGCTTGGTTCGAGCGACCCGTTCATCGAACAATTGCTTGCACTTGCTGAGTGTCGGCTCCTTAAGTTTAGCTTCAGGGCATGGCAGAAATACTGCATCCTTTCCTTACTAAGTTTAGACAGATTCTCCGAGGGAATATTGATCAATATTTCTTCGAAAAAGAATGCTTTCGTTCGAGTTTTTACTCCGACTATCCGCCATTTTGAAACTGGACTTTTTAAAAAGTCCGGGAAAATCCGGTAGTGTCAGGCCACCATGCGGTATGAAATTAGGCAATTTGCATGAATAGGTGAGAAAGCAATGCTTAGAGTATGTCCCCAGGGCTCAAATTTTGGACCGCTCTTATGGAATATTTTCCAGAATGACCTGGTCTACAACACTGACACAAGTAGCATTCAAATGTATGCTGATGACCGTCAAATGTATGTTTGTGGCGAAGCTATGGAAGATGTGGAAAGGACTTTAACGGACGAGGGAAGGGCAATCTCAAATTGGTACCGACTCAATTTGTTGAAATGTAATCCTGACAGATTTCATTCATTCAGTTTGGCCAGAGGCACAAAAACGAAGTAATGAAAAAGTGGTAGAAAGTGGTCCAGAATGAAGCTATTGGATGTCACTTTCGACAAGCATCTGAAGTTTACCAGCCACTTACATGAACTATTTAAAAGAGTATCTAGGAAATAGGGGTCGTGATGGGACTGAAAAATTCAATACCGACATTAGCAAAGCTTGGAATTTACAAATCTTTTATTTTGCCACAATTTGAACTGAAATTTGAACCAAAATAAGTGTTTGTATTAAGCTACATTGTGTAAAAAGTCCGTGAGAATAAATCAGCGTATTTATACAAGACTTAAGCATCACGCAATAACCCTCGTGGAACTGTTTTTTTTTTTTAAGTAGCGCTCCTCAAGTTAAGCCCTTTCGTGCAGGGTTAGGATTTCGATGGGTAACCCACCGTGAATATCGTCGCGAAGGGCCCTACTTTGTTCCCTCTTTAAGTTATTCTTCTTTTTTGCGTATTGTGTGGTGTAACTGAAAGCTGTCCACGATATAAAGATTAAGAACACGCGAGCTGTGGAGTGAAATTCTAATCGAATTCAATATTAAACTGGTTCATAACGCTTCGCGAGCGTATCAAATCATTTTCAGTCTTTGCTTCCGTAGTCTGTGAAACGTTTTACTACCAAGGGAGAACAAACCTTGTCACACTTTCCAGAGAAGCTCTTTTAAATAAGTAAAGCAATTCGTCAATTAAGTAAATACAACAAAGCCTGGATGAATACAAATTTAACCAAAACACCGACTTTATTAACCTTAGAGTTCTAGGAATTGCTTGAAATACCCTGAGAAACGTATCGCTTTAATTCACGGAACTTTTTTACATTCACTTGCACTAATTCATCCTCTTCGCTTACAAAAACGCGGCTGTCTATACGAAACAGGATATCTCCTGGGTTTTACGTTTTCCGCGTGTGTTTTTTCGGTTTCCTTTTTTAATCCGATTGACTGCAAACAAAATAGCCTCGATCTCGAGGAACAAACTTGAAATCGGCGATATACGAGAGTTAGTAAAACGCGGGGTCCAAGTCAACTTTTTTTTAAAAAAGAATGCCGTTTTTAGGGTCAGGGTTGACATTAACCTTAACCCTAACCGTAAAAAAACCCTAACCTAACCCTAACCGTAAGCTTAACCCTAACCCTGAGTAACCCTAACCTGACTTTAAAACTAACCCTAACCCTAAAACAGCATTCTTTGAAAAAAGGATAGACCCCGACCCCGTGTTTTACTGACACCCGTGACATGCATGCATACATCCAAAGGTCTCAAATGAGGCTGGCTTCGGGCACAGGCAACCCAGGCTGGTCACGTACTCGACCTGAATTAGTCTACTGCGAAGCCTGCTGGCTTCGCAGCAATTAGGCTAAAACCCTAATTTGCATACTAATTTGGATAATGGGTACCAACAGCAAAAAATTAATAAATAATTCCGTATCGTTCAATATTTTTAGCTGATTGGTGGTCTGTTTTGCTAGATAACTAGAGAAAAAAAATTATTTTAAACTTTAAGCTCAATCCAAGTATTATTTTTGCAAAATCACATTTTGTATTTGAATTTTTGCATAAATAATGAGAAAATGTACCTTGTAATTTTTTTCAGTGAAGCAAAATATTTTTTTTGGAAAGTTTATTGTATGTCCTTTCAAATGAGGTATAGCTTTTTAAGCTATGGTAAATTAATGTGGAGATATAATTTTTTAAAAATGTGAAGTCAAATTTGCTGTTTGCGCGCCCGTAATGAATGAGTTAAGTATACACATTAAGAGTTCACTCATTGCGAACCTCATTAGAACTGACGCCTGTAAGAACTGTCACCTGTGTAACTCTTAGAATAATTAATGAGGCGGGCAGGGTTTCAGAGTTTGTTTATTTTAGTTTTTTTTTTTTTTTCGATTGTCTTGTTTTTTTTTTTACGTAGTTATGGTAGTTAGGCGTCCACAAAGAAATTACACGTCGTGTAAGCTAGGCATTTGACACATTAATAAAGTCTTTGTTATTATTACTATTATTAGTAGAATACAACACCCACTGATTGTGCGTAGAGAAAAGCTGGTTTTAAAGTGAATAATATTCGCTCTAAGACATCCAAACAACTGTGTTGTTCTCCGTTTATGAATTTTATGCAAGTTCACAGTTTAAACAACGAAAAGATTTCAGTGACTTAAGCGTGGAGTTTAAATATAAGTCGGACATTTCTTATAGATGTTTTATTCTTCAGTTTCAGGGGCCTGAGACTCGCGTAAATTTAGCGAACGCTAGTACTATTGATATTAAGGACAAAAAGGAACGAGATATGTTGCGTGCATTTACTGTTCCTCTTGCAAATCTTAAAATCACGAAATGAAGGCAAAAAGTTTCGTCCAATTTGTCGCGCACCAATGTTGAGTTTAAATGCAAGGACTATCATCGCAGTTAAATACACAGCTTAAGCAGCTACGAAAAGAAAGCTTGAAAAATTCAGGCTTGCTTGCTTTCTTTTCGTAACTGCTTTATAAGTTGCGCATTCAACTGTCATGATCTTCTCTGCATTTATTTTTGCATTCCCGAATCTAATATATGAAATTCATATATCCATCATTTCATTTTTGAGTTTGCAAGTTTAGATTGTTTGTGGCGCGACTTTCATCTTTCACAACCGCTCTGATCCTGCTTGCGCACAATAAACGAGACCAATCATACCAAAACAGCTGTATCAGTTTTTGCTTGTTACACCTATTTTTCACGTTTCTTGCCGGACGTTAGGACTCGCGTTCGTGAAATCGACTAAAGAATCTTACAGAATTGGAGAGCATTTTAATTCGACTCTTGCTTTTCGTAAAATTCATCGACGAATACGCTCAACACGCATGGAATCCTTGGAAATCAGAACTGAAAGAGCATTTGTCAACACCAAACACAAAGTTCGACAAAGTTAAGCTACCTAGCCGACATCGCCCTCTCTTTGTTCGGTATTACCGTGCTAAAAAACTTCCTAACACGGCCGTTAAAGATGTGTTCAATTATTGTACTCAAATGCAAAAAAACTGGAGGGCTACAAAGCACGTTTATTTCTAGCCTAATATTGCACTGGCTTATTAAACTCTTATTAAACGTTACGTTCCGAATGCAGTTAAAAATCGAGAGTGAAAATCATTGATGTTTGTCGGGAACGTGCAGATAAGAAAGTGAACAAATGGCGAGCCACTCCCCATGATTCCGAGAAAGAAGATAAAGGACGCCAGCAAAGGGAACGGTAGGAAACTTCGTACAGAGCAAATTTCCTTTGCATTTTCATATCCTAATCTAAACTAGAAGAAAAAGATTGAATAAGGCTAAAATAACTTACTGACTGAAAAGCAAAGAAGAAAGGCGAGACCAAACAGGATCTTCATGTTGCAAGTTCTGTACGATTGGAACTGCTGCTGAGGGAACACTTTAAGTGGACGCTAATATCTCTGAACTCGTTTTATTGAAAAACAGACGACGCTATCCACTACCCTAATTTTAAGTAGGGTAGTAAAAGCGCTTGTCAGTCTGTCAATTCTAAGTCTATAGTGACCAATAGAAACCCAATGACTCTTAAATGTGATTGAAAATTGCCAATCATAACCAGGATAAACCCAATCAAAAAAGATCGCAGCTGGGCACTCAAAAGACCACCCTTTATGCAACACGGTTGTTTGCGTTTTCTTGTTATTGCCCCCGCAGGGATTTCGCCCAGAGGCGAAATCCCGAGGAGGCACCCTAGTAACTCGAGCGTATATTAAGGACAGTACTTACAGTTCAAATATACAGTCAGTATACTAGAAAAAATCTCGATTTGCTTGAACAGGGGCCGCGAGGAATCGGTAGGTAATGATGACGTTTCTATTGTTTGCGCCCGCAAGTACGAAATGGTTAGGATGACGTAAAGACAGAAAATACTGAAGGGACCGCTCAGGTAGATTTTGTGACATTTATTGTGCAATCATACTTCGATACTCTTTTGCGTTACGCAGTGACATTTCTGTGGAGCAGTTGTTTTGAAAGTTATGCACCAAAAGACACTCGTTAAGCGCAGGTGAGGTTTATAAGGTGCGTTTAACTGTGTATATATAAACACTTGGAGAGTTTGCCAGACACGAGTTCACAAATCTTTGATTTATATTGGAAACCTTACCAGACACTCTTTCTCTCTCTTTGACCGGAATAAGACTCAGCCCCAAACAAGCAAGACGAGTGAACAACAGCTAGCTTATAACTAGCAGAATGATGGACGATTACAGAAATTCGCCAACAATCAATTTCTGTGCTGACTTATTCCCTGCTCACAGATGTCCTTCCGTTATAAAGTTTCAAATAAGACTAGAATGCGCGAGCGTGAATTGATCAAACGACCTTTTAATTTCTAAGGCGTACTTTCCGGCAAATAAAATGAACTGAATGTAAAAAGTGAAAGAGAAATAGCAAAAAATTCAACTTCTAATTAAATCTTTTCTTGTGGTTTAGAATAAACTATTCTCGAAACTGAGAATGGTTTGATCAAAGCTGTGTAAATCGAGCTGAAACTGTGCATGGAACCTTGCGTTTCCTGTATTTATCTCACCTGTTGTATGGAATATGTGTGAAAATCTTCATTATGAATCGGTGTATTTCAAAGAGCTACACAACGAGCAAGAATACAATTGACCGACAATATACAGAGCAGGGGCAGCTGTAGTGTCAACTATTACTAGTTTACTTAGTTCGGCACGTTGTGATTCAGGTCAACTACTTTCGCTTCGTGCTTCCCTCGTGTCCTTACATCAGTAAGTAACACATGCACACAGGTTAAATCTCGTTTCTAAATCGAAGAGAACGAATCTTAAGATACTTAAGAAATTGAAGCGGGGTGGCTTCTCTACCACGTTGGTCAAGATAATGACATAAAACACAGCCTGAAGGCATTACAGTTGACAGGAAGAAAAAAGTTGATAAGATACTGTCACGAATGAGTCTTGTGACCGCAAATTATACCACTAAACTATCAGTATTTTTCATTACCGAAGACTCGATAATATATCCCGAATACATAATACTTTTTAAAATTTCCTTTTTCCCCTTTTTTTCTCCTGAATTCCCCTGTTTTCCTCTGTTTTCTCCTGTTTTTCCATGTTTTTCTTTGTTTTACTCTGTTTTCCTATGTTTTCCCCTGTTTTCCTACTTTTTCCTCTGTTGTCCCGTGTTTTCCTATTTTTCCCCTATTTTCCTATGTTTTCTCCTTTTTCGCTATGTTTTCCCCTGTTTTCCCCTATTTTCCCATGTTTTCCTCTGCTTTCCTCTGTTTCTTATAATTTCCAGTGTTTGTCTCTGTTTTCCCCTGTTGTTTTCCTATGTTTCCCCTGTTTTTCTATGGTTTCCCATGTTCAGTTCCTATGTTTTCCATTGTTCTTCTATCTTTTCCTCTGTTTCCCCCTCTTTTCCTAGGTTTTTCCCTGTTTCTTTATGTTTTCCCCTGTTTTTCTATGTTTTTCCCTGTTTCCCCTGTTTTCCTATGTTTTCCGCTGTTTT